GGACAGAGAGCACTCGGATGCTTAATTAAGCTGGCTGACTGATTCTATGCAGCCAATGTAGCCATCTGGTTATGCAATGAAGACTTTTTTACACTGTGTGCCTAACAGCTTCATGAATTAAGAGTTACATAATTCAAATGCCGAATGCTAGTAAAAGATCACTTCAATCATTCAAGAAGTATTACTGTCATTAAGTAAATATTTAAACAAATATATAGTTTCAAAGGAACCAATAAGTAACATTTCAAATAGCTGAATGGCATTTCAGCTTTTATTTACTCACTGGTTTTGGTGTTGAAGATCAACCCCAGGGTTTTGCACATGCTAGTCAGCCAACACTCTACTTCTGAGCTACACTCCTCAGCCCTAGTGTTATTTTTATCCAAGAAATAATTTATAATACGTAAGGCAATATGAATAAAGTATATACATTTATAGTTCCCTCATTTAGTATGAAAGAATGTGATCGGGTATGGGGAAAATTTTGTAATCATTAATTATGTGAAGTTTGAAGATGCCTAATACTTTATAATAACCACTTAATTGTAACCCTGTGGGCGTGACAATGCTCTTCGACTTGTGATGTCATTAAGGATTGAACAAAAAATGATCAATTGTACAAACTAGCTATGAGTTTTAAGCAAAATGTAATGAGGTGAACTGACATGGGCGAGGAGAAATGGAGAAAAATGCCACAAATCTTTATTAAACCATGAAGCTACAGCAGCCGCCACAGGAAGACATTAGTGTAATTGTGATCAGAGCCAAGTTTTCTTTCTAGTTTCCATCTAGACATTTGAGATGACCTTCTTCGGTAAGTTACTTATACTCTCCAGGACCACTTTCAAACTCAGTAAAGCAGGAATTACAATAATTGCCAGCTACTTCTCAGGAATCCCAGAAAGCAGGCCCAACTGTATAAAGCACTCTCATCTACTTGGAAGAAAATTACTGTATCACTACCAAGTAGGATGACTGCTATTTATGGTTCTTCAAACCTTTAGTCTGTACTTTAAAAAATGGCTTCCTTTCTTTGAATTTGCCAGGCCAGGTGAATGCATGTAGCTAATTGTTCCTGCAGTGTCTATGTAGCACATTTTGCATCAATACTGACTGTGAAGAATTTCCAGATTTCAAATCTGGGATGGAGCGCCTGCTCTTGGAAACCCTTAGCCTTTTTGCAGTGGGAATGATGGGCTGGATTTGGTCATGGCTAGATGGCAATGTCTTAAGAGTCTTTAAGGATTTTTCATCAGGAATAAAAATGCTAGCTCCTATGCCCATTTTATAGACCTTTTAAAATCTTTTATTTCTAATAAAGTGTTTTTCTATTATTATATACAAGCGAACAAGATACATAAGATTTTGTCTTTGAAAGATCCTTGAGCTTTCTTAAAGGTAGACACTACATATTTGTATATGAGCCTATATATCCTAATTTTCCTAAAACAATTGAAATAGGCATGAAAATGTAGATGGAATATATACAATAAAATGAAAAATGTTATTTTTCTTAGCAATTACATTACTGTTAATAATCAAATAAATACACCAGATTCATTACAGAAAAGTTAAAAATAAACTTTAAATTTAGGAGTAAACTTAAAATAAGTCAAAAATAATGAAATGTTCATTATGGAAGAATAAAAACAGTGATTACGGCTGGGCACTGGTGGCTCACACCTGTAATCCTACCTACTCAGCAGGTTGAGGTATGAGGACTGAAGTTCAGTGCCACCCCAGGCAGACAAATCTGAGAAATTCTTATCTCCAATGAATGAGCATAAAATGTCAGAAGTGACGGAATGGCCGACATGTCAATCTTAAGCAGAAAAAGCCAAATGAGAACACAAGGCCCTGAGTTGAAGCCCTAGCACTGGCCCAAAAACAAAAATCAAAAAACCCACAAAGACTGTAACAAAAGCAAAGCCAAGGACCATTACACAGACGGCAAAAAAACTTACTGTTATGAAGCCAGCAATCTAGTCAAACAGAGAAACTACAAAGATGCATTACTTGGCTTTCTTTGAATTATGAAAGGAAGCATCAGAGAAAGAAAATATTTTGGGGATCCAGAAATCTAATGAAGGTGCTTATTTGCAGGATATCAAATGATACAAAAGAGCATGTGCTTGACAGTGATTATGAAAAAAAGCATTTCATAATAACCATGAAGCTATCCCTCTCAGTCGAGGCTAATGACAAATTCCTGGAAGATTTGTTTCCGCAATGTGTTTTTTTTTTTTTCTCAACACACCATATTTTTATGTTTGAACAATTCCATGGAACGGGGAAGCGCTGGGAATCATATTTGCCTAACAGACATTGTGACTATATCGAGAAAAAGCAAAAGGGGTGATAGGATCAAGCTCTTATTTGAAGCTAGGTGGATAAGGATCAAGCTCTCTGTCTCTGTCTCTCTCTCTCTCTCTCTCTCTCTCTCTCTCTCTCTCTCTCTCTCTCTCTCTCACACACACACACACACACACACACACACACACACACACGTCCATAGGGTGTTAGAGATGAAACCCAAGATCTCACAAGTGCTAGGAAGGCATTCTCATATTCAGGCACACCACAAACCCTCAACTTTTCCTTTATCTTCTTTCTTTCTTTCTTTCTTTCTTTCTTTCTTTCTTTCTTTCTTTCTTTCTTTCTTTCTTTCTTTCTTTCTTTCTTTCTCTTTCTTTCTCTCTCTCTCTCTTTCTTTCTCTCTTTCTTTCTCTCTTTCTTTCTCTCTTTCTTTCTTTCAGTCGTGGGGCTTGAACTCTGGGCCTGTGCGCTGTTCCTCAGCTCTTAAGCTCAAGGCTAGCTTTCTACCACTTGAGCTACAGCGCCACTTCCAGTTTTCTAAAGGGTTTATTGGAGATAAGAGTCTCACGGACTTTCATGCCTGGGCTGGCTTTGAACTGCAATCCTCAGATCTCAGCCTCCTGAGTAGCTAGGATTACAGGCGTGAGCCACTGGCTCCCAGCTATATCCTCAACTTTTTCTATCTAACTGCTTTTCCAGCTTTGTTGAATCACTGTTTATAACGTCACCATGAATCTCAGCTAACAGCAAGAGGTGAATTAAGCACCTGCAAGACTTTGAAGGAGGTGAATCTTGGACTGTGATCTACTCTGAGAGGTGACAAGACCAGAGAGAAAATGACATTAAAGTGGCTGTGGCCCCCAAAACAAAAAAAAATGTATTAACTGGACTTGGGTAGAAAAAGTTTACAGAGTCTTCATAAGGACTAAATTTGGAAGCTGAGTCACACAGCCAAGTGTGAAGTGAATTGCCATATCTCGCTGTGGATATTTATCCTGAGTACATAGTGGGATCAGCTTCCCCTATCCTGGAATGTCTGGTGTGGATATCTAACTTCTACAAGGATAATCAGGGGCTTGCCACAAATGTTTCACTTAAACAACAGTGAAGTAAAGCAAGTCGGATTTTCCCCCTCTTTGGATGCCATCAAATATGCTAGGAGGCAACTATAAAAACAAATCTATGGGGCTGGGAAGGTGGCTCAGTGGTAGAGTGCTTGCCTTACATGCACGAGGCCCTGGGTTTGATTCCTCAGCACCACATAAGCAGAAAAAGCCGGAAGTGGCACTGTGGCTCAAGTGGTAGAGTGCTAGCCTTAAGCTGAAGAGCTCAGGGACAGCACCCAGACCTAGAGTTCAGGCCCCACAAGGGACAGAAAAAAAATCTATTTCCTTTAAAATACATTCTAAAACCAAAAACCCTATGTGAGAATGAAGACAAAACCAAACAAACCATCCTCCGGCTCTAAAAGTTCTATAACAAAACCCTCTTGGACTAAATAATAAGAAGTCTTCATTGTATAAATAGATAAACTGGAGCAAAGGCTTTATTCAACCATGCCAGAAATGAACTTGTTAGACAGAGAGCTGCTAAATGAAATGCAACAACCAAAGGCCCAAATTCAAAAATGAAACAGACCACTACTCAAGAAGTAGGAGACATGAAAATGTCCAAATTATCTTGCACAAGATGACCTGGCCATTCCCACAGCATTTTTTTTTTTGCCAGTCTTGGGGCTTGAACTCAAGGCCTGGGCACTGTCCCTGAGATTCCTTTGCTCAAAGCTAGCTCTCTACCACTTAAGCCACAGTGCCACTTCTGGCTTTTTTTGTTTATGTGGTACTAAGGAACTGAACCCAGGACTTCGTGCATGCTAGGCTAGCACTCTACATTCCCAGCCCCACAGCATATTTTTGAAAGTAAGTATAGAAATAAATAAATATATAAATATAAAAAAATAAATCTCAAGTAAATATATACCAACAAGAAGCACTTTAATCTGAGTATTTTTTTCAGCTGTCCCTCCATCATTAAAAAAAAAAACAACATGAATTTGAGAAAATTAAAGTTGGCTTTTAGTTCATCAAGTTACATTAGTCTCTCTGAAAACTTCTCATTTTTAAAATCAAGTACTCATTTGATTTCCAAGCAAGGTCAAGAGAACAAGGCAGCCCAACGCTGACATTACAGGGATGTGCACCACTCTGCTCAGCAGTTACCTCAATGTGGCGTGTTGCTATGGTGCCTGCCTATTAATTTTTTAAAGAAGTCAATTACAAAGCCAGAAAATGAGCATAAATCAGACAACACCACTTCAGCACAGAACATTGACAGGCCTTACTCTTGTTTGCAGTGAGTTAATTTTATGAATCACCACTTTTTTGTGTGTGATGTGAATATTCCTTTCTAACTTTAAACCTACCAACTCGACAAGCACAAGTTATTAAAAGTTCAACTTCAACAAATGGGAAAGTTTGACATCATTTGAGGGAAAATTTGTGACACAATAGGATTGTTTCTTGAGAACAATCTTGTAAGACTTCTAAAAACAAGTGACATATATACCACAAACACACACATGTAGATTTCACAAGTAGAGATCTGTGGCAACAACCAAACTGGAAGATCTCCAAGGTGATGAAGAGAGTTCTAAATATAATTCCACTAATAATATTCACATTTACCTTTTCTTTTTGGCTTCTGTCAAGCAATCTTCAGTTATAGTCACCTCAAAAGGTCACCTCTCACCCTGAAAGCAAAAGAGAACACCACAATCTGAGTGACACAAGCAGCATCCCCCAGCTTAGTACCAACAGGAGCAAAAACAGTACAGGAGCTCAGCTATAGTTACTGGCAAGTGACTTACAGAGTAGAAGAGAAGAGAGGAGAGGAGGGGAGGGGAGGAGAGGGAGAGAAGAGGGGAGAGAAGAGGGGAGAGAAGAGAAGAGAAGAGAAGAGAAGAGAAGAGAAGAGAAGAGAAGAGAAGAGAAGAGAAGAGAAGAGAAGAGAAGGCCTGGAGATGTCCACTTGTCTGGACCTTTCTGTTCCTCAAGACACCAAAATCAACTTGGGATGGAAAAAGTCAAGGTGAAACCTTTCACATTTTACATATGAACTTTTTCTCATATTGCCTGTAATATGAGAAAAAATTATTTTTCATGTGGAATAATATATGACTCATAAGCCTTTGTTTTTGGAAACCAGACTGATACTTGATCACGTCTCTGTTTGGTTAACATCCCCAACATCTCTAATTTCATTAAAGCAAAAGCTTTATTTTGTTTTTCCCTATTCAGAAAGGAGCTCGCTCTTGGAGATATGATGTGTGGTACTACTTTTGGACAATGAATAAAAGCACAATTTTTTATTTTTGATGTGTGTGGGGGGGGTTGGTTAATTGGTGGTGAAAGCTGTTCACAGAGCATGTATCTCTACCAGATATACTAAGTTAAATACAAATGATTCGTGTCAGATGAAATAAACAACTGAAACCAAGCTTCCTAAAGCACAAAGAGAGCAGGAAACACATTTTCTCCCACATCACTCCTGCATCTGCATACCTCCCTATGCAAAGCAGAATGTCAGCCTGTAAGAAACACTGCAAGCCGCCCATCGAACTCAGATCAACATATGGCCCAAGTGAAAAGAAAAACATTTGTTTATTAATTTTAGATCAAGTTACTAACAGGGTTGAGGATTCATTCCCCATCCACTTGGCCAAATGCTCAAATAATGTTTTTGAAGGTGATGAAAGCCTCTCATTATTTTACTAATAGGCAGATTGCTTTGTGCTCGCTCATGAGAACAATATGTAAGGAAGTAGTTTAGATTTTATATGAACAGATCCCTGCTTCTACTTCTGTCAGTCTCGAATGTAGAAGGCAAGTCACACTGATAAGAAGAGTAAAATCTTCCTTCAGTAGGACTAAAAAAAATTTCAAGTGGCACTTTGCTGTGTACTATCTTTGAAGAATTGATCTGAGGCCAATTTATGACATTTCCACAAGCAAGTGGATGCAGATTCTTGCCATTAAGATTGGAAAAAAAAAATGATGCCGGCAATGAGTGAAATCATTATTTTCATGTTTACTGTAAGAGGAAATTGGAAGGTTTCATCATAAATGTTCATCATTTGGGTGGGGAAAACCCAAGCTTGGAGACCTTCGAATTACTATTTTGTAACCTACCCCAATCGCTTTTTTTTGTTTGTTTGTTTTTACACAAAGCAATTCAAATTGAAAATGAAAACCTTGTTGTTTTACTGCCGAACTGCGTCCTCTGGATGGATTTCTCTTGTAGTGAGAAGCTGGCGATGGTTAAGAAAGCACCACAGAGCTGTGATGGTCAGGTATATCTATCTGCAAAGCTGTGTCACTGTACTCAAACAAGAGCTCCCAGGTGCCAGGCACAGAAGAGTCATCCACCTAAAAATGTCTACCACCATCAGTCTTTCACTCATCCAATGAGCCTTGTTTTCTTTTTTAAGTACTGGACATTGAACTTAGGGTTTGCACATACTTCACAAGCGCTCTACCACTGGGCTACATCCCCAACCCTCATCAAATCTTAAAATGTACAAGTGAACTTTGGCAGACCCCTGTGCAATTCAAAGCAAGAAAAGACCCTTTTCTCCCTCCTTTTGCCTGGACATGCTCTCCAGTGCATGCACTCTAAAGTAACTTATATGTTTATCTACTGAGCTGTGTCTATTTTTTGCATGTTTGGCAGTCAGAACTATAGTATCAGACTTTGCAATGCAGATGAGATTTGCTATCATATAGGCCTGACAAACAACTGGACCTCATTAAAATTTAATTTTAAAAAAAACCTGCTGAAATGCCTACTTAGCATAAAGTTATCTCTAGTGCTACATTAAAACCTGCAGAATATTTTCAGGTAAGTAGGGGGTCTTGTTTCCCTATTCATCTACCTTCTCTACTCACTATCTACATCCAGTATATAACCGAATGGAAATAGAAGCTGGTTCACCCTTTTGATTTTCAGTGTAATTTTTCCCAGGGGCAGAGAGTTAAAAAAAAAAAGAATTAATAATAACAAAACTATATAACTGACCCTCTAACCTACACACACTAAAGCAATGCAAAATTGGCTACATTTAATGTTCACTTATACATAAAAAAATTGGCAGTGAGATGTAAACTCTATTCCATAAATTTTCATGCACATGCACATTTGACCACTCATTAATTTATTTCTGTTGATTTTAGTTTCCAGAAAATGTATCCATTAGCAAAGTAATCTGAAAGATTTTTCCCCCCAGTTTGGCTGCGAAAAGATTAATAGTTCAACAGCTGTTTGCCATCATGCTGAATTAAATAAAATGTGTCAATACAATAGACAAGAAAATTAGGGGGTAGTGCTGGGGCCCGAGTGGGCATCATTAGAAGCTTAGAAGAATCAGAAACCAACAACGGAAAGAAAAATATGCAGTTCACCTTTTGCCAAAAGCATAAAACATGCAGTTCCCAAACTGTATTCGCTATTCATTCACTTTTGTTGGTCAAATGCATCAACTATTTACCTATGTGTTTGCTGGTGGCATACTATTAGAATTAAAATATTATGCAAAGCTTTTAAGGAAAACTTTAAAACATGAAAACTTTTTAAAATAAAGAGATATGGTAAAAGAAATATATTCTCTCCAGTCCATTTGCCTTCTAAAAAAAGAAATGCCTATGCTATACAAATTACATTTTTTTCTCTTTCTGTCTTCAAGTCTCCTCCTGGTTTTAGGTTTTAAAAAGGAGCGAAGGAGCCGGTAAACAGAACATGTCCTTTCTGTCATTCTCTGCAATGACAAATGTCCTGCGAACATGTACAGCTGCTCCCGGTCTCTTCCCTATTGACCACGTGCTTTTTGCCTGAGGCTACATGGTGATCAGAAAGACCAAGAGGAAGCCCCACATTTCACCTGCCACATCTACTAACCTAACACTTTCCCTGTTCTGCCCTGGTCTCCATTCGTAGCTTTGCACTGTGCCGCTCCTGTGTGATTGCAATGCTTCAAGTTGGCACTGAATCCGTCTGATAAGTAATACAAAAAGCAGGCACTCACAGGTCCAACTTGGAACTGACTTGCAGGTAAGTGTGGAGGTGTGATCTTCCTTCACACAGACTGAGAAGGGACAACACAAGGGCTGGGTTTTTGTATTTTTGTTTTGTTTTGTTTTGTGTGTGTGTGTGTGTGTTTATTCTATTAAAAGTATTTCCTCCTTTTCTTTCATGGCAGCTAAAACAAATGATGGGGTTTTCTTCACTGTACTTCACATTATGTGATCGCGCAAAAGAGGCCCTCCAGGAGGGCCAAGGGAGATACCTCAAGCTTCAGCACAGCTAGTGCTGGATGAGAACCTACTGAGTGCCCAACCCATTGGGGGATGGAAGTCAGTAGAGCCAGTCCTCAAGGGAGAGGACCCCCTCTTTCTCTGAAGTCCAGGAACATGGCTCAAATTCCCAGACCCTCAGACCCTGCAAGAGAGGCACACAAGTCATTTGTGAAAATAGGTACAAATAGGCCAATTTCCAAGAGAGGGCTGCCTCTTTAAGTAGTCAATCTTAACCCATGCTGGCTTTCTTCATCTTATTTTTCTATGATTTCTTCAAAAACAAGAGATATATCAACACATATTTGACTAGTTGAAAAATGATCACACAAGGGTCACTGTCTTGTCTACACTTAGAAAAACCTGCTTGGAAATCAGCTTTACAGACATGGAAAGGCGGTTAAGAAAGAAAAAAAAAAGTTAGAAAAAGAGGAAGAAAGAAAAACAATAAAACAGCAGAGAGTAAACAGGGAGGGTAAGAAGCGAAGATAGACAGTGGAGAGGAGAAACTTCTGACCAGCGCAGGTCCTGGACACCAGAAGCCACCTTAAGACACCGCACATGCTCCCTAGTGTGTAAACACTAGATCCCTTTGCTTGGTTTGATCAAAGAACTTAAGTATTTTGCATCCAAATCTATCATTTCCCAAATCCCAATCCTATCCCTGCAGACCACCTTTCCCTTCTATTTTCCTTACCCTCAAGCTAGGGTGCCTAACTTTGGTGTCCATTCTAGTAGACAAGAAAAAAAAATATCTAAAATACTCTACAAAGCAAGCCACGTGGCACAAGCAATCCAAGCCAAGGCTTGCTGGTAAAATCTCTGTAGTAGGCTGGCAGGCAGGGCCTCCTAAGAATGCTACCTCCCTGGATAGATCTGGCTCATTTGCAAGAATGACTCTCTCTTACCTTCCACAAAAGTAAAACCCTGGCCACGGCCACGTGAAAATATTTTATAGGTATCCTTTAGCAGCCTTTACGTGTTGAAACCCAAAAACAATATTTGCTGTTTTGCTTTTGAAGCCCTAACAAAGCCTTTGTTTTAGATTTACCTTTGGTGTGCAATAAGAGTTAATAATCAAATCCATCCCCACCCCCACAAATGTTAAACAAAAAGATAAAAGAAATGCAAATAGCTATTGTCATGGAAAGTTAAAGTACCTGTCTGTATTTTTAAGTGAAAACTATTATCTCTATCAATCAAAATTTAAGAATACAATAGCGCTAATCACAGAAGGTGCTCTGTCGAGTTACTTTCTCTCGGGGAGGAAAAAAAAAGTATTTTTCCCTCTTAAAAAACCGAGTATAAAAGTCATATACTTACAATTAGATAGAGTATTTGTAATTTTATTATTAAAAGCCGTCAGCAGCCTCACTGTTAATCAATGCTTCTAAGTCTCCAGACTGATTTGTACCCAAGTCCCCACATATTTTTTAATAAGGTTGATGAAATTTTATTTAAATTCTCCCACTTTCCAACCTGTGGGGTAACAGCACACTCTTCTGTTGAAAACAGTTACTCAGACAGAGGCAGCAGATGAGTGGGAAGGATAACTCATTTCAGAGGCACCATGTAATCCCCACACCCTGAAATACCTAGACCGGGGACAGAGTTCCTGTGGGCATCTCTTAGGGAAATGATAAACACTCTCACCTCAAAAAAGAAAAACAAAAGCTCACCCCGACCCAGAGATATCCAAGGACAACAATTTCCCTGGGTCTGTTAATTCACTTGAAAAATAAAGATCGCATCCGCCCCTCATCAGAACAACAACAACAAAAAATAACAAGACCCCGATAGTAAAAACAAACAGCCCCAGATTAAAATTCCTAGAGCAAACAGTTAAGCCAGGATTCCATTATTGCAGACTGAGCCTGCATGGATGTCTTCTTCACTGTGGGGCCAAAAGGCTGTCATTTACCCCAGCAAGATCAGATTTCCTTCCCTCTCTACCGCCTCCCAGAGCGCCACGCCAACATCTCCAGTGTGCTATTAATATCAATAAAGAGATGGTTCGATTTCCACACAAGAAAAACCCTTCCTATTCCTGCACACGGACCTTCGGGGAGGCCCCTGGCCCGGTCCACACAATACAGCAACAGAGTTTCCCCAGCTTTCTTCCAGTTCACTTTTGTACACTGTTGGAAGGCTTTTAGCAAACAATGTCAGCATTATCTGCGGGATAGTTACAAAACAGGGTTTGTGAGCACAAAGCATAATAAAGCTGTGCTCCCTCTCTCCCTTTTCTTTTGCATTCCGTCCAGTCCCCCAAAGCCTCTTTCTCCCAGCCAGTCCAAAACCCGGCCACCATTGCCTACGAGGCACCTGTCCTGAGCAGCCACCAACTGACCAAGGGCCCGGGAACCAGACTGGCTTTCCGGCGGTGCCCAGCAGGGCAGCCCAGTACCCTCTCACATTTGTAAAACGAAACAGAAGTGGCGGCTTGGCTTGGTCCACACTTACCCCGTCATGGTGGAGAGGCAAAGCTTTGGGGCAGGAAAGGCAATGTTCACACAATGGAAGAAAAGTTGAGTTTGGAAGGAAGAAAGTACAGGCAGGCACTTGGAAGCCCGCAGGCTCCCGGGGCTCCCAAGCTGGCTGCAGAGGGAGGAAGGACTGAAGGTATGTGGGTTAAACATAACAAAAGCCACTGCCTTACTCTAGATTAAATATGCAGGAAGAGGCCCCTTTGCATAAACACAAACACTCAGCAAATGAATAACTGGCTCAATCAGACGCCCGCTGTGCCTTCTACCTGTCCTCCTCTCTCTGACAAGAAGACACTGCCAGGTCTCGGGGACACCATAAAACAGGAGACCCTTAAATGCGATGTTGCTATAATAACAATTAAAATGAATTGCATTCATTAGTAATTAAGAATTCACTCCCGCGGGGGAGGGGGAGGTTGGCAGGGAGGGAGATAGAGTACTATTGTATTTCAAGCGACTCCAAAAAGAACTTGGCACCCTTCACACCAGCAGAGTTCTGCTGTGGGCTGCGTTTACAGAGCTAACGTTCAGTGTGAGCTTTTAAACAAGCACAATTTAAGGTAAGAGATACAACTGCCTGTTTCTCCGCATCGTGGCATGCGGAGTCTGTGCCTTGAGAAAGCTATATTTCACCTGGACTTACAAAGATTCACATATAAAATACATGCATGCATGCCCATGTGTAGATGAACGCATGTATGCCCACACACGTAGACATATGGATATATAAAGGCAATACACATGCACACCCAATGTCAGGACACTCTCTGGTTCACTAATCATTTAAAAAAATAATGGGGAGCTTTCCAAAAATATATCCAAAATGCCTTCCTGTTAAATGTCACCCACCAATCTAGGCCAGTCATTTAAAAGCATCACCCACGTATTAGAAGGGATGCTTTTAACTGAATGGCCTCAACCACTTATAATTTCAATTAAATAATATAATTATAGTCAACAATTTTTCTCCATTTCGACAGAAAATATGCCATACCTCAATGTAATTAGTCGTTAGAACCCAGGAATTTAAACAAGGAGAGAGAGAGAGAGAGAGAGAGAGAGAGAGGGAGAGAGAGGGGCACACTGGGAATTCTCTACTACCTTTTCCCACTTTGTATAAATTCACTACCAGGGACCTCTTGTTCTGTAATCCAGCCACATGTGGATCTTAGTAACTGAATAATTCTTAATGCATTTTTTTCAGTGTTTAATGATCTCTGCTGAAACATGAGTTAAGATTAGGTTCATCTTCTCCTTTCTAATGCCATCTGTACTTTGGGGGCAAATCCAACACTGCTTTTCTATAAGATAGGTTTCTATTGTAATTTACATTCAAAAGGCTCAAATGTGGATTCTTCTCAGCCTCAGGAGGAAATTCAACTCTCCTAGCCAAGAGAAATAAAGTGCTTTCTAATTCAAAATCAAGTTTTATTTTATTAGTACAATATATCATCTGAATGCAAAAAAAAAATCAGCACCGAAGTTTTGTTTTTTAATGTTACAAACAAAAAGCTTACTTCAAATATATGTTATGGTAATTTTGGAGGAAAAGAAACAAAATTTTAAATAAAAGGAAGAAAGAAGAACGTATAGGTTCTCTGAAAGGAACTCTCAGGGTGACTAAAAGATTGGTTTTGTTCACTATTTTGGCCTTGAAGTGACCTTCTAAAGAAGGTGTTACACAATCTACCTCTCTGGACAATCATGATCTGATATTGACACAAACCATGGACCAAAATTCAATCAGTACATCCCTGTGAGAAAACCTTTTTCCATCCCAGAGAAATTTCTGAGGACTATTTTGCTGGTTGGAGTGGATAGTTGGACTTCCCACTTCCTTATCTCCTCCTGGTTGAGCCAGCTCATAGAAGTGCTGTTAGTAGAGCCCAATAATAATGCTTCTGTCATGCAAACCTGGATGTCACATATACAGTTATAGGTAGGATCTAATTCCATATGCATTAGGTATTGTCCTTGAAAGGAATGCTTTAATGAGGACTGGGAAATAAAGATGATGGATCCAGGTAAGGGATCCATGCATTGGGGCCCAGGTAAGCTTGTCTTGGAAGATTGCTGGCTACAAGAGCAATGTGCACAGACACAGACAGGGGTTGTGACAAAAATCCCTGCGCATGCTTTAGATGTTGCGTGACACATACTGATGCACAGAGTCAAAGATGTCATCCTTACACAAGCGCCACTTGCTGTAAGCATGAGAGAAAATGAAGGAGGAGGATGAAAGGGGGGTGCAGTTGCAGTGAGACCTCTAGAAAATAAACAGGGTGTACAGTTTCAAAGGCTTCAGACACAGACATTTCATTGTTCAAGCCAATTATCAGCGGAAAATAATAACAACAGATGGATTCGGAGTCACTGACTTTTCATATGCACTTCATCTCGGCGGAGCAGATGATGAAACAGGAGAGCTATCTCAAAAAGGCAAAACATCTTGCAGTAAAAGAACTCTACAGTCCAGATGGGGACCTTCTAAGGCTGCTGATTATCTGCTTATAATGTTGTAAGATAGACTTACTAAAACATTTCAAGAACTGATCAGATAGGATGCGTACAATAGCTTCATTATTGGGAAGCAATCGTCTCAGACTTGTGACTGACCCCCCCCCCCCCGGCAGAAATTTCAATAAGGTTAAGGCTCTGGAAGTTTCCTGTGCACTCATCAGGGATAGCAGGTTCTACCTCAAACTGGAAAATCTGTGCATCATGGGAAAATAAACCATTGCCTAGAGAAACTGCATTTGTCCCTTTCTCTCTTTTGAATGAGGGAAGAAAGACAAACTAGGACTGTAAAACGGGTATTAGATGATTCTGAGGTACTGAATCATGATGGGGAAAGGAAGAGAAAATAGCTCTAGCTCAGCAGTCCCTCGTTACAGGCATTCGGTGATAAAATATCATCCTTTAGATGCAGTTAGAACATCTTAACTATCCCTTGTCATTGGTGACTGCAAAAGATAATTTGTTTTTAGTGGGAAATAAATATAAATTTCAATGGTGGTGTGATTAACTATTCTAATAAAGGCTAACCAAATACTTAGGCAAAAACTCACACACTAACACAATCTCAAAAAGTTGAATGCCTTGAAATCCAACTCACTAGTAAAATCCATGACCTGAGGAACCAATAAAAAGTCAGGGAAAAAATTACATCTTTTATCAGGTAGGCCTTATCTCTGCTATAATAATGTATCTGATTTGTCTATATCTCTCTCCACTCATTCACCATCAATTTCACATTCATCATTCTGCAGAGATTTTCTCTGAATTGATATAAAATAAGGTTAAAGTCACTATGTTAAGAAAAAATAAAAGCAGATCTCCTCCCCCTATTTACTAATACGCCTAACATTTTTTTAAAAAAGTATTTTTATGGACACCCTGTGTTGACTTCACAAGTTTATAACGTAAGTAAAAAAAAAAAAAATTCCCAGTTAGGATTTCTTTCAAAGTACTCTAACAAAAGTAAATTCATAGCAGAACACACAGGCACGAAGAAAATATCGCCCAGGGCAAAATTCTGCAACTGCTTTAAGAAGCAAACAAGAACACAAAAGATGTGTAATGCGACCATCTGGCTCTCCTCATACAATATCAATGCCTCAACTTTATCCCCAGCCAGCCCACACCAATGCCACAAAACCAAACGGCTCCACGGATGCTTCCTGCACAGCAAACTTACACAATTCAGTCAGGATGCAGGAGTTCAGTGTGTGTGTGTGTGTGTGTGTGTGTGTGTGTCCGTCCAGGAGTTCAGTGTGTATGTGTGTGTGTGTGTGTGTGTGTCCGTCCAGGAGTTCAGTGTGTGTGTGTGTGTGTGTGTGTGTGTGTGTGTGTGCGTCCGGGAGTTCAGTGTGTGTGTGTGTGTGTGTGTGTGTGTGTGTCCGTCCAGGAGTTCAGTGTGTATGTGTGTGTGTGTGTGTGTGTCCGTCCAGGAGTTCAGTGTGTGTGTGTGTGTGTGTGTGTGTGTGTGTGTCCGTCCAGTAGTTCAGTGTGTGTGTGTGTGTGTGTGTGTGTCCGTCCTTGTGTGTGTCCTGGGCACTATCCTTGGGTATTTTTGTTCAAGGCTAGTGCTGGATAACTTGAGTCACACCTCCACTTCTGTTTTTTTGGTGGTTCACTGGAGATAATACTGTCAAAAACTTTCCTTCCTTGGCTGGCTTTGAATCCTCAGATCTCAGCGTCCTGAGTAGCTTAGGATTAGAGCCCTGAGTGATTGCACCCAGCATTAGTTGATTTTTTGTTGTTGTTGTTTTGGTTTTACACATAAACTAGTATCCTATGAATTTCTCCCGGTTCGATGACTGGATTAGCAGCCTTACTCAGACTGGGACTTTTTTGAAAAACCACTGAGAACCTTAGTGTCATAAAGATGTTCTCACGTGGACATATCGGTTGGGTTTCGAAGGAAGTGCACTGCAAAACCTTGGTCTATGCCCTCTTGTGCTTTCCGTCTTAATCAGGCTTTAGAGGCCAACATATGAAACCGAAAATAAAAGAACTCTAAACCAATTCCAATTAAAATCTTTATTTTGGAGGACACAAAAATTGTGGGACATCTACCTTCAACTTAGTTGAAATAACATTAATCACCTCTTTTACGAGTCAAGATATTCCTTGGAACTTTGCTTTCTTCTATGTCTATAAATATGTATTGAACAACTACTGTGAAGTCATTACGGGACAGTGAACAACCAAATTCCACCACTATCTTGTGTACTAGCATGGCCTGCCTGGTACATTAAACCAGGAACTCTTTGCTATTAAAAACAAATAAACAAGGAAGTCTTTTACACACAGGTAAGCTGACACATTTTACTTATTTATATACTTCTTATTTACTTTTGCAGACAGAAATGCTGGATTCAGGATAGTTACATACAGCCTGCTTGTAGGAGTTGAACTGCTTTCAAAAGTAGGAATTAAGAAGCTTTATGGAAACCCTGTGTCCTTAAAAGACAACAACCAGGGAAAATGGATACTGCAGAAATGCTCCTACGTGTTCTTCCTCAGTATCCGCTAGAAGCAAGTGTCTATACTGGCCAACAGTTTTCAGTTGTAAGGCAGGGCTGTCTAGGTTACTTGTTTTCTTCCTGACATTGGCTTTCCCTCATGCCC